CAAAGACTTGGAACCAACCCAAATGTCCATCAGTGACAGACTGGATTAAGAAAATGTGGCACATATACACCATGGAATACTATGAAGCCATAAAAACGGATGAGTTTGTGTCCTTTGTAGGGACATGGATGCAGCTGGAAACCATCATTCTGAGCAAACTGTCGCAAGAACAGAAAACCAAACACCACATGTTCTCATTCATAGGTGGGAATTGAACAATGAGAACACCTGGACACAGGGTGGGGAACACCACACACACGGGCCTATCATGGGGTGGGGGAGTGGGGAGGGATAGCATTAGCAGATATACCTAATGTAAATGACGAGTTAATGGGTGCAGCACACCAACATCACACATGTATACATATGTAAGAAACATGCACGTTGTGCACATGTACCCTAGAACTTCAAATATAATTAAAAAATAAAAAGAAAAGAGGTTTCATTGACTCACAGTTCTGCATGTCTGAGGAGGGCTCAGAAAACTTCCAATTATGGCTGAAGGGTAAACGTCATAACTTAACATGGTGGCAGGCAATAGAAAGAGAGGAAGAGAGAGAGAAAAGGGAGACAGAGAGGTGTGTGTGTGTGTGTGTGTGTGTGTGTGTGTGTGTGTGTGTGTGAAGGGGAAAGAGCCCCTTATAAAACCATCAGATCTTGTGAGAACTCACTGACTCTAACAAGAACAGCATAGGGGAAACTGCCTAGTCCAATCACCTCTCACCGGGTCCCTCCCTCCACACCTGGGCATTATGAGGATTACAATTAAAGATGAGATTTTTGTGGGGACACAGCCAAACCATATCAAGTGATAAATTAATAGATGCAAGTTACCTTGATAGATATACCTTTAAGATGATCTTCAAGATTGGGTAGATTTTTGAAATTGTGGAGATGTTAGAAATAGAATTATGAACTGTGTAAATCAATTTAGGTTTAATCATGAGTTTTATCTTTAAAATTTGGGCTTGATTTAAAGTGCCAAAGAGATATTCCATCCAAAGTATGGGAAAATGGCTAGTGGTTCAGAAACTTTTTAAAAGGAGTAGTTTCAGCGTTTAAAAATTTGTTTTTTCCAGGTCGTTAAATTTGATGGTGGAGAGGAAGTACTTATTTCAGGAGAATTCAATAACCTGAGAAAGGTAATGCCATTTTGTGTGTATCATGTAATATTAGCAGCTCGGATACTAAGCTTTAAAAACATGTAAAAAGCACATTAAATTGACATCTTTTTGTGTTAGGTCACCAAGGAGCAGTGGGACACCATAGAAGGACTCATCAGGAAGACAAAAGGTTCCTAAGACCACTTTGGCCTTCATCTTGGTTACAAAAAAGGGAATAGAAATGAAACAAATGATCTCTCATCTTTTGACTATTTCAAGTCTAATAAATTGTTAATTAACAAAGATGCATTGAATATGTATTCTGTGTCAAGCCAGTGATAGCCATTGTATATTCAAAGATGAATAAAATGAAATATAGTCCTTCAAAACATTAAAAAAAAAAAAAAAGGAGGCATGGAGAGAGTAGGTAGTAGGTAAAGATTCCTCTTTACCACTAAAAAGTGCTTAGAAGTGCAGAGAAAACAGATCTTTGTGGCTTGGAAAATCAGGAGAAACTCAATGGTGGGGGTAGTATTTGAGTTACATATTATACTATACGTATACTGATAGGGCCTAAAAGAAAGAATTTAGAGGATACACACTAAATATAATAGACTTTGCCTTTCCAGTATATTTTCTTTTCACTGGACTTGTGAATTACTTCTTTGGGTAACTCAGTATTATCTCATATCTTTAATTTTTACTAGGACCTATTTGTAGCCAGGCATTTCATTTAGTACTGAATAAGCTATAGCCCGTGCCCTTTTGAAATTCGTTATCTAGCAAGATAGTCAAACTTACAAATAATTATTTATGGTACATTGTGATAAGTATTATTCCAGCAGTATTTGAGTGTGGAGGAGGAAGTAATTCATTCTGTCTCCAGAGTTTAGAGAATGTGATGCCTAGGAGATAGCATGCCATCCCAGCTGTAAAAGAAGAATAGATTTTTCTGGGTAAAAAAGGTAAACAAAGTCTATAAAATATTTTTGTGTATCATTTGATTAAATTTCCTCTTTGGTTTGACTAATTTGTCATCCTGAAAATCAAATAATAATGAATCCAAAGTCTCAAGTCTACAGAGCTATACTTCTGAGCCTATATTTTTAAAATGTCCATTTTGCTTTCCCAGGAGTCACTTATAACATGTTCACTAGACTGACTATCGTCATTGCCCAAGTTGACAGGAGAGGAAACCGGCTTCCATATTACCTCATCTGAATAAATCCGCAAAGGAATCCAGTTTTCCTGTTTGAATATATATGCCACAAGCCCCATGGAAACCCCAATTACATTGACAGTTAATTGTGTACATAAATTACATTTATTACATTTAATTGTGTACATATAGGGGAATGTTATAGGTTTGGAATAAGTAGCCTGACATTTCTAATTATACTGACTTTCACTGGGCTTTTTAGGCTGTTACACTTTTTCTCCACATGCTTGCAATACAATACTCTCAAAATAAAATGCAGACAGTTACCTAGTTTCCATTTTACCTTTTGTACTAATCGTGTCTATTAGTCTGTTCTCATGCTGCTAATAAAGACATAACCAAAACTGGGTAATTTATAAAGGAAAGAGGTTTCATTGACTCATAGTTCAGCATGGCTAGGGAGGCCTCACAATCATGGCAGAAGGTGAGTGAGGAGCAAAGTCATGTCTTACGTGGTGGCAGGCAAGAGAGCTGGTGCCGGGGAACTCCCATTTATAAAACCATCAGATCTTGTGATGCTTATTCACTATCACATTATTGTGTTGATATTGTGTCCACACACCATTAGTGATGGTTTATCACTCATTCCATTTCCAAACCCACCTTCCCACCCACCTCTCACCAAGCACACAAAGACACTTTCCCTCCGCTGATTCCACCAATATAGCCGTGTTTCTCTTTCTGGTTAAATTGATACTAAATGTTTACATTTATATAACTTAATACATTTTTTTTTCCAGTGTTGTTTCAACCTTTTTTTTAAAAAAAAATTCAGATTACATGATAAATCAGATCCTTTTTAAGATAAATATTATTTTTAGTATTCTGTTGTTTTGATGTATCATAATTTATTGGAAATAGGATTATTTATAATTTTATTATCTTTTTAAATTTTTATAAAGACAGTGTCTTGCTATATTTATCAGGCTGGTCTTGAACTCCTGACCTCAAGTGATCCTCCTACCTTGGCCTCCCAAAGTGCTGGGGTTACAGGCATGAGCCACTGAGCCTGGCCATTGTTTTAAAATGTTTTGTTTTTAAATGTTTTTCAAGAATGCTGATGCCTCCCTTGCTAATGCGTTTTAAAATTAGTATTAATATTACTTTTGATTGGAAAATCATAATTGAATTCATTTATGGGGTACCCTGTACATTTTAGGGGTACAGTGTGATGTTTTGGTATATGTATACTGTTAGGCAGGAGTCTAGACCCAACATGGCGGCGTTACCCGGCGTAGCAGGCCTTTTGTTAAAGACTCCCTTCACCCTTGTACACACGCGCAGACTTACATGCATCAGAGTTCCGGCTGGGCAACCACACTCCCCCATGACCTGCAGCTCACATGCATTCCACAAGTTCATAAACAGCAGTTTCAGTTAACAGTTTCCAAAGACCCCTTCCTCGTGACCCTTACTCAACTCCTGCCCTAGTAGTTTCAAGACCCCCCCAGGCCCTGTTTGCACAACCAGCTTCCCTACCTCTCAGGCTATAAGAAGCCCCTACCTTCCTCCCTCAGCGCAACTTCCTTGGCCCTCACCTTTGGACCGAGGAACCTCGCCCACGAGTCCTAATAAAAGCTATTCTCACTGCCATTTGCCTTGTGTCTTCGTTCCCAGTTCGGCTCCAGCCTCAGTTTACCTTTACATATACAATGTGGAATGATTAAATCAAGCTAATTAACATATCTATCACTTCTCTTACCTATTGGCCTTTATGGAGAGACATTTGAAATTTACTTTTATTAGCTATTTTTAAATATACAGTACATTATTATTGACTATAGTCACCCTGCAGTAGATCCTAAAACCTGTTCTTTCTATCTGAAATTTTGTACACTTTGGTCAGAAACCCTCTTCTTCCCACTCCGTCAACCTCTAGTAAACCATCATTCTACTTTTTTTTTTTTTGAGATGGTGTCTCGCTCTTGTTGCCCAAACTGGAGTGCAATGGCATGATCTCAGCTCACTGCAACCTCCACCTCCAGGGTTCAAGCAATTCTCCTGCCTCAGCCTCCTGCGTAGCTGGGATTACAGGTGCATGTCACCATGCCTGGCTAATTTTTTATAGTTTCAGTAGAAACAGGGTTTCACCATGTTAGCCAGGCTGGTCTCGAACTCCTGACCTCAGGTGATCCGCCTGTCTAGGCCTCCCAAAGTGCTGGGATTACAGGCGTGAGCCACCATGCCCAGCCAATCATCATTCTACTTTCTACTTCCATGAGTTCAACTTTATTTGATTCCATACATAAGTGAGATCACAGGTTACTTTTATTTTTCAGTATTATAAATAAAACAACATTTTTGTGTATAACACATTTTTAGAATTTGGAATTTTTTTCTCATTTTTAGAAGTGGTATTATTAATCAAAGTTATGAAGCTTTCAAAGTTTTTTTGATATACATATCCAATTGTTATTCCAAAGATTTGTATGGGTTTAAACCCCCCTGAGTAATGTGTGACAGTGCCCATTTCAACAAATACCTGCCAACAATTAAAAGTATTCACCAGTTTTACATGTAACAAATGATAGTACCATTAAAAACTTATTATTAGTGAGATTGAATACTTTTATACACTTGTGAATTTCCTGTTTGTCGTTTTACCTATTGGTATCTTAATGGGGTACTGTAAAATTTTTGATTTGTATGAGTTTGTATGCGATTTTTTTCCTCTGTTAAAGACAAAAATAGTTCTTTTAATAGTTTCTTAGTCATCTATTGCATCATTATTATGTGTTATTACAAATGGTTGATGAGAAAGCAAAGCTTGCCAGCATGGCAGAGAGGATCAGAGAAGAGAGATCATGGAGATATTGACTAACAGATATTTTTTCCTGAGTCTGAAAGAAAAACAAACATTGTTTATGGGTAATTCTATGACAGACCACATGTGGGCTGTAACCACATCAGTATTCCCCTTAAGAGTTACTTTGTCACTCAATACCTTCTGTAAGAGTCCTGCTTCTATTGTACTAGTGGAAGAGTTAATACTCAGTAAATTAAAGATTATTGGTAACAGTTTCACTCATCTTACCATTAACATGTGAAACCACCTCCAGGAAATGTTTCAGGTATAGAGTGACAGCCATTGTTTCCTTATTGTTCTTGTGGAAACTAAAACAATGAGAATTTAATGACTTTGATTAATAGAATTTTAGAGCTGGTAAAGCCTTATAAAATGCTAATTCTCAATCTTTTTGTTTTACAGTTAAGCAAACTGCAGACCTAGAAAGTTATGTGACTTGCCCTAGGTCACACAGTAAGTCAGGCTTATGTCTCTCACCCAATTGGATATTTCTTGGGATCATAACTTAAGAGACAATAACAAGGTTTTTAGGAGTTAACAGTTACATTACAAAAACCTTGGAGAAAACCCATCAATGTCTTTAGCTTGTTAGTTGAAGTATGACTTCTAAAAATGCACAAATCATGAATTATTACAAATGAATGCACTCGGGTAGCCTTTCCCCAGGTCAAGAAACAGAAGAAACAGAACATTACCAGGAACCCAGAGGCCTCCCTTCTGCCCACCATCGTGACTCCTTTCCTCCTCCTCACAGCTAAACACTGTCTTGACTTCTAACCCCATCGTTAAGCTGTTTTGAGATTTATATAAATAGAATCACACAGTATGTATTCTTCTGTTTTTTGGCTTTCTGTGTAGTAATTGCTTATGCATGCTCATTGTTATATTCCATAGAATATAAGGTATATATGAATATACCACAATTTATTTGTTAGTTCTGGTGTTAGTGGACATTTGAATTATTTCTAGTTTGAGGCTATGCCAAATACAAAGCTGCCGTGAACATTCTATTCTTTTGGCGAAAATATATACACCTTTATCTGTTAGACTGGTAATACCTAGAAGTGAAATTGCTGGGTTTTAGGGTATGCTTGTGTTCAAATTGAGTAGATACTGTCAAATGGCTTCCAAGACTATTCACAATTTAACCTCCCACCAAGCTGTTTGGGAACTTCCACCGTGCGGCATCCTAACCAGTAGTGAGCATTCAAATTCTCTTTACTTTGAGCCATTCTGTAAGTGTGCGGTGGCATCTCGTGTGTTTAATTTGCTTTTTTT